CATACAGTGGTTGATTTTGTTCACGGCATTTTCCCAGCAACTTTCGTAATGAAAATATTAAATCAGTGGTAGATCGGTTCCCACGTAAGCCACACTGGGACTTGGGGTAAACGTGATTCTCCAGGATCTGGAGTCTTCGCAGAACAATACTCGCAAGCACTTTTCCAAGAGTACACAGCAGTGATATTACCCTGTAGTTTTCGCAGTCACTCCGATCACCCTTGTTCTTGTACATAGTTATGATGCTTGCATCTTTGAAATCTCTTTTTGCCATCAGAGTGTTATTAGCTAATGAATGTGTGAGGTTAGAATGTCTTTCCCACTTCTGATGATTTCAATAGGCATTCCATCTCTGCCTGGGGCTTTCCCTAAAGCCGATTCATCAATAGCATTCCCAACTTCTACAACTGTTGGAAATGTGTCCAAATAGTCAAGAGTCGGTAGTGTCTTCGTGGCATTAATAGCACCATCTGCTATTTTAGTATCAATTGAGTAAAGCTCCAGATAATGTTCCACCCATCTATCTAGCTGTTTCTTCTAGTTATTAATAATCTCCCCATTCAAATTCTTTAGTGGGGCTCTTTTTTAAATAGTAAGACCGATGACCTTTTTGATTCCCTCATACATGCCTCTAACATTACCACCAATGCTAGCATTTTGAATGCTTTCACATAACTGGATCCAGTAGTTGTTGGCAAACTGCCTAGCAACCTTTTGCAAATGATTTCTAGCTGCTCTTAATTCAATGAGAGTATTCCTTGTTGTTCTTTCCTTTTTTCTGAAGAGTATTACCTTTTTGCTGTCAGTTAAAGGTTGGAGTGTCTGGCTATTTGCTTTAAAACAGCCCTTACTTCTATTTTCTCCAATCCCTTAGACTGATACAGCTGTTTTGCAGTCTCCTAAATTTGATCCCATTTTAGGCTTGCTGTAGAGTTATCCTGGATATCAGTGAAATCTTCAAGCTGTTTTTGAAACTCAAAACACATTTCAGGGTTTTTAGCTTTGGAAATATTTAATCTAGGGATATATTTGTTTTTTTTGAAGTAAAATTTCTCTTTGGTTTTATCCGAATTCTTGCAGCAACTAGGGAATGGTCAGTATCACAGTCAGCACTGTGGTAGCTGCGAGTTAGTGATACACAGTTCAAGTGCTGCCTCCTTGTGAGAATAAGGTCCAGCTGGTGCCAGTGGCCAGATCTTGGATGTTTCCATGACACATTATAGCGGTCTTTAGTTTTGAAAAAGGGGTTTGTGATGCACAAGTCACTTCTAGTACAGAATTCCAGTAGTCTCTGTCCATTTTCATTCATGTGGCCAACATTATATTTTCCAAGACAAACTGGCCATGAGTTTGAGTCTGACCCTACGCGAGCATTACAATCGCCAAGTATATAGATGCTGTCAAATTTAGAAATTGATTTCACTGTGTTACCCAAGAAAAAGAATCCTTTGAGTCCTCTGTTGACGTTAGAGTGAGTGCATATGCAGTAACAAGGGTAATAAAACCGCTTGAGGTAGACACTCGTAGGGATAATATTCTGTCAATTCCTCCAGTTGGACTGATCCAAACAGTGAATTCTTTACTACAAATCCCACTCCATACATCTTGATTTCTTCCTGGCCTCTGCCTTTCCAGAAAAATGTATAGTTATTTTCTCTAATAGACCCATCCTCTGGCAGACGGGTTTCCTGTAGGCGAGCAATATCTATGTCAAGTTTGCTGAGTTCGACATCAATGATAGCCGTTTTTCTCATATCATTAATATTTTCCATGTCAGTTGAAAAACCTGGACACATGGTCCTCACGTTCCAAGAGCCAAATCGAAGCTTGGGGTTATGTTTCTTTTTATTGCCTGGTGCAGTGTTTTACAGCCTGCAGTTCGGATTTTGTCCTAGCTTCAAGCACCCATTGAAGCATACAAGCTGTGACGGAATAACACCTTATTGGCTGGGGGATTTTCAGCATGACGAGGGCGGTAGTTGATCAGTGACATTCGAAGATGTCTCTCACCGTCACAGGCAACCCGTGGCGCCCCTGACAAGGACTTATAACTCGTAACTGATGCCTCTAGATTTGTTTCGGGGACTGATTAAGGCCAGGGATGAAGTTCCTCCTCTCCATAGCACAAAGCCTGGACAGTATTGTAGAGACCATATGTTTCCCATGCGTAATGATCCCTCGCTCGACCTGCCTTGTTTGCTCCAAAGGAAAGGTAAAACCAGGTTGCAGAAGCTGCCGGATCAGAAGAGCAGTGCTCTATCTGTCCGCCTGTCAGAGCTTCCCTCCTAGACCAGCTACCAGCCAAGGCGAAAGGCCTGGTCTGCCCTGCCATAACACAGTTTTCAGGTTGCATTTCCTCTTCCTAGGATAAGGCTAGTATCCCCCTGAATGCGCTCCTCCTCCCGAAGCCGTTGGCACAATATGTGATGTTGGGTTAGTATACCTCGCCTAACATTCGGCGTAACAGAAGACAGGTGGTACTGGCTACTGTTATACTGTAAATCAGTGATATCTTACCTAGACCTGACATTAAAGTCGGTAGTATATAAGTTCTCAGAAACACTACGCGTAGACTTTTAAAGCAGTTCTGTAACTTTCTGTGGGATTAGTTTAATTGACATTGATTCCCGAGAGGCTTGTTCAGTTTTGTGTCAGCTAGTCTTTATTTGAAACAATTAATTGAATGCTTTGGATGTTATGATAAAATTTGTATGACATGTCAGATTTCACAACAACCGCGAATCGGGAAAACAGCTGATCGAAACAAATGATTCGATCGAATATTTTGTGCAATTTTTATTAGGCCATCATTATTTGTTTTTGAAATATCTTTGTAAATGCTGAGGACAAATTTATCAATTTTCCTCATGAAATGTGATATTTTTAATCAATTTCCGTGAAAGGGTGTTGATTTTAGCCATCAAAATTAATTTTTCTTCAATCTTTAACTAGTATGTACCTATAGAAAGCATTGTTTCCAGCAGATATAATCAAATTTTATTCGGGGTTTAACCTGTCCTTAATCCCAGGAGCTCGGTTTTTCGCCTGATTTTGCGATATCCCTCTATCCTATTTGTATGCCTTCTTCTCTCTCCATTTCCTCGTCTTCTCCTCTTACCACTCTCTCCGTTACTACCTGAAGATAGTATCAAGCACATAGCACGCACTCTCATGCTCTGCGAACTTTATTTCTGTTAGTCACTTTAATTTAATGTTTCGCATTAAATCTGCACAAAGTATGATATAATAATAAAAACCGCAAAAACTGAGGTAATGAGAATTGGCAGGAAACAGTAACATGAACGTTCATGGTAATTTGTACGACAATCAAGCAAGTACGAGAATGCTTAAATCTAAGAAGCAGATTTACAGGAGATGACAGACTTAGACAGACAGAAGTCAGCATTCAGAAGGCAAATTCACCTCACTGCTTAGACACCCAAACTGTCTCCCTTCCAGCAAAACAGAGAATGATTAGAAGCATTTTCATCGCTACTTTATTCTACTACCAGATTCTATTAGTGCCAGATATGGACAATAAATAGGACACTGGAACAGAAAATATACCTGTCAGATGCTCCGTCTCCGTAAGGTAACTAATAACACATGGAGAGGACTGCATTAGTAATACCGGCAATAGAGAGAAAGTTGGAATAAGACAGTGGGCGATTTAAATTTACAAAGAATGAATTGGTTCGCCATCTAATGAGAATATAGCTATACCAAACTGCATATGGCATGTTTGAAGAAAAAAAAAAAAAAAAAAAAGAAAAAAAAAAACTACTGAACCTATGGGAGGAAGAGGAGGAAGACCAAGAAATATAAGGATACATATTGTAGCTGGAACCTGCAAAAAGTTGAATAAATCCCCAACCAAAGCCACCCCAGAAGCACAAGACAAATACAGAGAACCGATAACTGGGCTACAATTTGGTATCAATGAGACGGCGTTTTGGTGGGCAATAAACAACGTAATGCTGATAAAACAGTCTGGATAGCAACAAGTCAGAAAGAACTACAGGAAATGATAGACATTGTGGTGTTAGGAAGTGGAAGAATGGGCCTCAGTTTGAATAATGGAAAGACAGAAGTAACAGTGTTATCAAGGAAACAATTTGTTCCTAAATGTGTAATAAAAGTCTATGGTGTTATTTTGGGACAAGTACAGAAATTTAAGTATCTGGGCACATGGATAACATCAGATGGAAGATGCATGAGATAAGAAACAGAATAGGACTATTTTATAAAATAAAGAACATCTTGTCCAAGATATACTTGTCATTTAGAGTAGAAAAAGAATTCTTGCTTGCTACATAATCCAGTTATGGCTGTGAATCATATTGCTGTGAATCCTGGACAATCAGTAGGCAGGCCAAACAATTTCTTGAGGCCTCGGAGATGTGGTTTTACAAAAGAATGCTTAGAATATCTAGGACAACCCAAAAGAGCAACCAAGAGGTTTTGAAAGAGACGGGAGCCCGAAGACAACTTATCACAGACATCAGAAGGAGACAGTCATCATTTTTTGGCCATTTATGAGAAGAGGGAAAATAGAACATGTTGTGACCACTGGAAAGATCTGTGGAAGGAGGAATAGAGGAAGACAACGAGAGAAGATTTTTGACTGTCTTGTTGCATGAAATTTAGGTGTGTCGGCACACGAACTGATACATGCTGCAGGAGATCGCAGATTGTGGAGAGCTTGATCGCACACGCCAGTCGGCAAGGCACCTGATGATGATGATGTCGATAATGATGATGATGATGATGATGATGGTGAAACGACTTAAGAAGAAGTCACTTTAACAGAAGGGTGTACTGGGATATGAATTAGTGAGAAAGAGAGACAGGATGAGACCAAAAGGAAGACTTTATAAAACTGGCAAAATTACTTGAAGAATTAAAAATAAATGGTTATATGTCTCCATCAGAATGGTAATGATAGATATCCTATTGCGCATGCGTTTCTCTAAACTTTTACTGTAGAAGAACGAAACAAAATGGCGAATACAAACATCCAAACAGAAGTAGTAATGACTGGGGTTCGTCTCAATGTTATAGTGGAATATTCCTTTGAAAATATAATCGCAGTGTATCTTCTTCATAATGGAAAGGAATACAGAGGTGTATTGTTAGAAACAGACCCAGGGTATGGACATATTTCATTCTGATCTAGTCTAGTCTGGTTTATTTAAATTTAAAGGATAATGATATTGACAATTTATTTATCTGTCAGTTTCAGTTAGTTAATTAATTGTAATAGTTAGTAATTTAGTAATTAATATTTTAATTTACATTTTAGTCGGTTTTGACTCTCGCCGTGGTTTTAGTTTTACTTTACTTTACATCTAACAAATAAACAAACTAAATTTAGTTTCTTGACAAACGGATTTACAGTTAATAATTAATTGTGCTCTCCTCCGAACTTTTACCCCCGCAGTATTGCGGCCTGAAATATCCGTTCGGGGCGCAGTCCAATTAAAAATATGCTGGCTCCGTATAACGAAACAAATGCTCTAACAGGGTCTCAGCGATATGTTACTTGCGGACCTGTTTCTTATTGTTTCTGATTACCTGACAATTCTAGAGACGCACTCAACACTGCAGACGATAGTAAGTAGCAGACGACGATATTAGCGATCGTTGACACTTTCCATTGTCGAACTTTCTGCCGACGAACAAATCTAGGATCGGCTCGGAAAAACGAAACAAATGCTCTAACAGGGTCTCAGTGATATGTTACTTGGGGACCTGTTTCTGTGACTATGGCTCACCGCCGAGCGTATCCCCCACGCCGCGCTTATCTAATGTTGCGTCTCGTGACATTTTAAGGTACTCCTAGTTTTGCCGTAATTTGTTCCTCGGTGGGAACTCTGACAAGTCCGTATTTTTAATTGGAATGCGCCCTGAACGGATATTTTAGGCCGCAATACTGCGGGGTTAGAAGTTCGGAGGAGCACCAATAATTGAAATTATCAGATCTTTCAATTGTCCTGTAACTATAAGTAGTATAAGGCAAGCAGTGAATAATTAAAAATAAAGGAAAGCAGGCTTTCACTGAAACTCAGTGGTCAAGTTTAACACACAAATTTGAAAATGATAATTAAAAAGAATCATAATCATAGCAGTGTAAATTAGATCATTTAGAGGAATAGAATTTAAGTAGTAGTTAGACGGGCTCTCCTCTGAACTTCTACCCCCGCATTATGGCGGCCTGGAATATCTGTTCGGTGCTCAGTCCAATGAAAAATGCGGACTTTCTGCCAAGGAACAAATAGTGGTAAAACTGGGATTACTTGACAATTTCAAGAGACGCAACATTGCAGACGATAAAAGTGACCGGTGACAATGTCGAGCGTTTCTGCAGACATACTAGCAGACGATAAAAGCGACTGTTGACAATTTTGAGACATTACAGACGATGAAAGCGATATGGCGGGTAGACCACGCGCTCCCACGCAGATTAGCAATACTGTTCTTCCGATTGAGGATTTAGCAGCGGTAGATGTCAGACTTGTTGGCATGCGCAAAACGCGATTAAACTCACCGCCGAGGGTATTTCCCGTGCCGCTACGCCCGGCGCAGATGGGGAGGCTAAACTAGGTGCCTGGGACTCACGAGCAAAGTAATTGGAGGAAGTTGCAGGAGATGCGGTAGCTGCTGCTCGTGAGTCCCAGCCATCTAGTTTATCCTCTTTCCGAGCCGCGTGGGGGATACGGTCGGCGGTGAGGCATAGTCACAGAAACAGGTCTTCAAGTAACATATCGCTGAGACCCTGTTAAAGCATTTATTTCGTTTTTCTGAGCCGATCCTAGATTTGCCCCGATTTGTTCCTCGGCAGGTAGTCTGACAATGGAAAGTGTCAACGGTCGCTATTATCATCTGCTACTATCGTCTGCAGTGTTGCGTCTCTTAGAATTGTCAGGTAATCAGAAACAATAAGAAACAGGTCCGCAAGTAACATATCGCTGAGACCCTGTTAGAGCATTTGTTTTATTATATGGAGCTGGCATATTTTTAATAGAACTGAGCCCCGAACGGATATTTCAGGCCGCCATAATGCGGGGGTAGAAGTTCGGAGGAGAGCCGTTAGACGTCCTAGAAATACCTGACATGATTCAAAAAGGCCATAGATACATAACATGATTCATGGCCATTGAACATCGGCTTATATAACTCCTGAAATTATCTGTATTCTCTTTCTGTACCTTTCACACTTTTAAATTGTCCCCAAGTCTGCACCTTTCACTTTTTAAAATTGCTTTCTTTAAGTCATCTTCACCTTATACCACTTCTACAGCTTATCATGCTATTTTTGGGTAAGTGATTGTGATGTTGTTTCCCTACAGGATTGCTATCCATAGGATTAATACTTTAACTTCAAGGATGAGAATCAAACAGGAGCAGATCCTGAAACCCTGTTCAGTTGACTAAAGATGTTATGTTAGGAAACCCTTGAGTTATGAAGTTACCTGTTACTGTAGTCAAAATTGGGGATTGGAGTTACATAATAAAATAGGGCTATCCTCTGAATAACGGTCCCAAATTATCGAGGCAGGAAATATACCCTAACAGAGCCTCATTACGTCATCCGCTACAAACATTTAAAAGTTCTAACCCAGAAAGTATAAGATAGAAAAGTATCAGGAAAAGACAAAGTCTAAAGTCTACTACTTGCTGACAATTAAGTCCTTTATATGTGAAAATTGTCACCAGAAGTTGCAAATAGTGCCCAAATATCTGCTCTGTGTGGCTGTGGCACCATTGGAACTCCGCCAAATAAGATGCGAACAGGGCATGGCTTGAACGCGATTGCAGCATCCACAGCTCTTCAATGGTTTGCATGTGAACGTCACTGTCTGTCGATGAAATTAGTATCATGCACTACCATCGCGTGATCGTCAATGCCACGTTTTAATTTGCCAACATTGCTGTAGCCTCGCCAAGCGTCAGTCACAATTCTCGTTCCGGGCAACACATGATCAGTGATGACGCGTTCGGCTATCCTCCGAATAACGGTCCTAAATTATCGACGCCGGAAATATATGCTGACATGGCCTCAGTCATATGTAAATTGCAGACATCTTTTCCGTTGACTATATTGCAATCTCCGAGAGTATCCCCGCGCCGCGCGTTGACACTTTCCATTGTCAGACTACCTGCCGAGGAACAAATCGGGGCAAATCTAGGATCGGCTCAGAAAAACGAAATAAATGCTTTAACAGGGTCTCAGCGATATGTTACTTGAAGACCTGTTTCTGTGACTATGCCTCACCGCCGACCGTATCCCCTGCGCGGCGCGGAAAGAGGATAAACTAGATGGCTGGGACTCACGAGCAGCAGCTACCTCATCTCCTGCAACTTCCTCCAATTACTTTGCTCGTGAGTCCCAGGCACCTAGTTTAGCCTCCCCATCTGCGCCGGGCGTAGCGGCACGGGAAATACCCTCGGCGGTGAGTTTAATCGCGTTTTGCGCAGGCCAACAAGTCTGACATCTACCGCTGCTAAATCCTCAATCGGAAGAACAGTATTGCTAATCTGCGTGGGAACGCGTGGTCTACCCGCCATATCGCTTAAAGTAGGTCAAGTACTGTGGTAATATTTCAACCTGGGCTGTGGTGAAAGTCATGAACATTCTGAAGGATGTGTATCGACTATCCTCCGAATAACAGTCCTAAATTATCGAGGCGGAAAATATCCCTTACAGGGTCTCAGTCACGTGACAATTGCCCACTCCGTCACCATAAATTGTGCATTTCCGGGACTTCCGCCACCGCCGAGAGTATCTATCCCCCACGCTGCTCACACGAAACTAGATGGCTGGGACTCACGAGCAGCAGCTACCGCATCTCCTGCAGCTTCCTTTATTTTATTTGCTTGTGAGTCCTAGCCATCTAGTTTAGCCCCAATCCACTCCGCGTGAGCGAAGTGTGGGATACTCTCGGCGGTGGCGGAAGTCGCCGGAAGTTCGCAATTCGGCGGTGGTGTTATAGTTCCCAGAAGTGCGCAATTTACACGTGACTGAGGCTGGGTTAGGGTATATTTTCCGCCTCAATAATTTAGGACCGTTATTCGGAGGATAGCCTGTGTATCTATTGTAGGATTGGTACCAAACAGGGACCCTTGCTCAGGATAGATCTCTCGAATGTGGGCAGAGAGGTGTGCAGCAAGGCTGCCTACATTTATCTGTGAATAGGACCACATTTTTTTAAAGGTACCAAAACACATCAACAGTTTTTATTTTTCAACACCATTTTTATTCAGACAGGTTATAACAATTTTACATAAACATAGAATAAAAATGCAAACTATGTACATGTAACTGTGTGTATGTAATGTGAGAATTACATGATATGTACTCTGTTATACAAACTGTAAACAAAAACACGACCTGAAATTAAACAATTTGAGTTGAGTAGAGTCAAGGCCAGAGTTCCAATACTGATTGTACTGGTCACAATATGGTTATATGTCCGTCTTGCCTTTCCTCTGAGTGTAGTGAGCCAGCCAGACCCTGTGGTTACACCCAGGGGCGTTACACCCAGTGGCCTCATTCTCTCCTGCCATAATAATATTGTTTCTCTACTGATTCCGTTGCTTGTTTCCAGAGGGCCTTGACCACCTCTGCCTTGTCATGTATCAATTCACCACGCAGTGGTGCAGATCCAGCCAGTCTATCTGCCTGTTTATTACCCACCATGCCGGCATGGCCTGGAGAAAAGATCCAAAGTATACTCACTACCCGTGACCTTCCTAGCGAAGCTTGCCAATCTGCTTGAAGCATCCCTGTCTTCACCTTTCCCAGCATGCTTTTAGAATTTGTTACAATTTCGACATGTATCTGCATCTTGTTCTCTAGCCACTAGAGAGCTGCAGTTATGCCTTCACCTCCATTCTAATGCTAGATGTTGTAGTGTCGTATGCTAGGCTGTCTTGCACTAAAGATTTTCTATTGGCTTTTGCTTTGAACCCCCAGGCACTTCTCTTTCTGCTCAACACCGAACCATCTGTATAGATAATCAGATGGGCGTTAATTGTCGTAAATCAACTTTTGGACTTTCACCTCCGTAGCACCTGGTGGCTACTCTCTGCATTTCCGGCCCAATGTGATCATAACCCTACACAGGTCAGACTTTTTCGCTGGTACTC